TACAAAAAAAAAAAAAAAAAAAAGGGAGGCACTCGCCTACTTCCGAAGTTGCTAGCGAGGAGCACAGATGTGATGAACGATACATTCGTCAATCCGCTGCACACATAATGACGACGACTTGCCCAACCGCTAGCCCAACGTCTAAAGCCCACATCGGCCCAACCGGATTTCGAGCGCAAGTGCCATGTTCCACCGCCACAGAAGGCCAACATCCCGAAATGGAAACCGTGTGTTTCCTCTCGTGCCCGATTCCCTCTGGTGGAGAAGGGAGGCACATTGATGAATATAGCCGTACGTGGGGTCCAGGTCGATGGACCGAACACACAATTCGGTGTGAGAGGGGACGAACATGCGAGGTACCGAAGCAATCAAACCTGACACGAATTTTGAGGAAGCACGCCGTGGATCCAGGGCCATGGCATACAGACCACCGTTTTCAAGAAGGAACAAAAATTGCCATTGTCAGATGTTTTGAAATCCAAGAAACTATTAAAAAGCAATTAATAAAAAGGGCGAAAATGCGTCACACAGCGTAAAAGACTTGGCTAGTGGGTCCGAGCCCCAGGGACCCAAGGACTCTGCAATAAATAATTGGACCCCCGCACGAAGTTCAAAAAAATAAAAAAATAAATTAAAAAAATGGAGTTATTGGATATGTTGGTGCTTGTTATTGATCCCATCGTTTGCTCGGCAAGTCTATTTTATTTGATTTTTTAGGCTGTTTAAAAGTGCGCTTTTTTTTTTCTTCTGCAAATTAATAATCATATAAATTGGTATAATGCAATTTAATATGTCAGGCACCTGCAGGAGCCACAAAGGATATGTACAACATCGACCCGTCTCTGGCAGTCACAGGAGGTCTGTCTGTGGCGATTCCGGGAGAAGTGGCGGGTTTCCATGTGGCCTGGCAAAGACATGGTAAACTCCCTTGGGCTCACCTCTTTGAACCGGCGATCGATATGGCGATAAATGGTTTTGTTATTGAAAAGTATCTGGGCAATGTTCTTGCCGAAATCGAGGAGCAAATACTAGCAATAAAAGGGCTGAGGGAAGTGTTCGCACCCGAGGGACGAGTACTGCGGACAGGGGAGGTCTGCAGGATGCCCAAACTTGGGGCAACGCTGAAGCGGGTGTCAGAGGAGGGTCCCTATTGCCTCTATCACGGTGACATGGGAGCGAGCTTAGCGGAGGATATCAGGGAAGCTGGAGGGATTATCACAGCCGAAGATTTCAAATCTTACACCGTCAAAATCCGATCGCCTCTCGTGGTCGATTTGTTGGGGCACACAATGTATGCTGCACCGCCGCCATCCTCCGGAGGAGCAACCATCATTGAGGTGCGTGGCCTGAGTAAGCAACAGACAGACTATGTGTGGGTTGAATCCTGAGCCTGAATCATGGGGTGGATTGCTGCTGGAAGGGTACACTTTTTTGTAGGAGGGGGCTGAGTACACAACAGACAGACTATGTGTGGGTTTGAATCATAAGCCTGAATCATGGGTTGGATTGCTAAAGGTACGCTTTTTTGTAGGAGGGGGATGAATAAACAACAGACACACTATGTGCGGGTTGAATCATGGGGTGGATTGCTGCTGGAAGGGTACGCTATTTTGTAAGAGGGTGAGAAGAGGAGGAGAGAGGAGGGGGGGGGGGGTGGGGGAGGGGGTAGGTGAAGGGGGGCAAGAGAGAGGAGGGGGTGAAGGGAGGGCAAGACATAGCCCACTGGGCAATCTATGAAAGATGCAAACTGCAGCCTAGACATGATGTTCCTGGACATCGGGATGGCCAGATGCATGATCTGCACCTGGATGCTCAGATATCCAGGTAAGCAGAGGCATGAGTCCATGATCTGCAACTGGATACACATGTCCAGGTGCACTGCATTCTGTTAGGATTATTTTGTACTCTGAGATTGTCTTCTGAGCATTTTTGACATTCACCCTCTTTTTTTGAGTGCTCACAGCCTTTCTTTTTTTTCTCTTTTTTTTCCTTTTTTTTTGGCTCACAGGCTTTCTAAGGCATGGCACTACGGTCTTCCCCCGAACATAAGGCATATGCGTTGTAAACGAATACAACGCATACCATGTGTTGTATTCGTTTACAACGCATATGCGTTATGTCCGAGTGAATGAGACCAACTTTGCCTGCACAAGGGGGTCGGGTCCAGACTGAGTAGGCTCAGTTCTGGACCACGGCTGGGGGCCTCAGAGCCTTGGCAAAAAGGGAAAAGTAAAGTAGCGACGTACCTTTCCATGTTCTGGGTTGAGTTTCATTCCTTTCCCCTGCTTGGGCCCTTGCTCCACTCAGCAAATGTGCAAAATGCGAATGAATCTTTTCCACTAGACCGTGGACAAATACAACCCCTTTAGTGCAGCGAGACCTTGGTGAGTGGCTTTCTTATTTTTCCACTTTCTTGGCCGCGCCACATTTTTGGCTGTCAGAAGCGCAGAAGCGCCTTCACACATGGAGAGAGAGAGAGAGAGAGAGAGAGAGAGAGAGAGAGAGAGAGACCCCTGCAGCGCGTGTCAGTGACCTGGAGGGCAGTTTCTTGCCTGAAGAAGAGCATAGGGGGCACAAAGAGAGACACAGAGAGA